AATATTACGAAACATCCCAGAAACATTTCTGAAATATGCCTAAAAGTAAAAATGTCCTCTAAATATAATATTTCACAGTAATATTTCTGAAATGAAAATTGGAAATCTTTAAGAAATATTAATAGTCCAGGATCCGTAAGTACGGTCGACCTTCTGTTTAATGGATTATAGTTATTTTTTATTAAATAAAATGTTTTTAAATATACCGCAAATGGGTTGCCTAAGAAAATACGGTCACGGCCATTTTTTACTTTCCTCTCTGTGTACAGATAAAGAAAGTATAGGAATCATGACAAAAGTTGTTTATGATGTCATTCTCTATAATTTTGTTTCTATACATGATTTTCCTAAAATGGACCTAATTTGAGATATTTGATGAAAAGTGCAAATTTCGAATTTTGAAGATAACTCAAAAACGGATGAAGAAAAAAACACCAAATTTTGAACTCAAGCTTTAATCTATCCTGCGATGAGCTGATTAAAGTTTGGGCATAGTCAAAGCATTTGGGGAATACTCTACAGGGTGTCGTTTTTTTACTTTAAGAAAATAGTGTGGACCGAATTTTCTTAGGCAACCCATTTGCGGTATATTTAAAAACATATTTTATTTAATAAAAAGAAAGTTTTATCCATTAAACAGATGGGTGAAGGTCGACCTTATTTCGGATCTTAGACTATAAATAGTAATATTACAGAAATGTATTCTAGTTTTTTTTTCTAATATATTATTAGACTAAAAAAAACATTTAAAAATATACATGTTTATTTAAAATACACAAAACTCAAACATTGATTCTTAAACAAACAAATAAATAAATATGTTTTAAAGAATATTTAATAAAATATAGAAGTGAATTGATTCATTTTCACCAATTCCTTTAAATGCACTAATTTGAAACAACTAGGTTTTTTTTAATAAATGCTAAAAGTAAAGAAACATTTACGATTCTTATAATCTAATCATTAAGATCAATTAGCAATTTTATTTTTACCTTAGATTCTTTTTGAATAGGAACTTACTGACTAGTGTTGTAATTTCTTGAGGAATCATGTTGTAAAGTTTAGGTGCTAGGTAAGTATATGTTGATTGTGTAATTCTTTTCAACATTAAAGGTGTAACAAAATGATGCCTTTGTCGAGTATTGTAGGTATGTGACGGAAGTTGGGCACTATATTTATTGGTATGTTGTTTATAACAAGACGCAAAAATAAAAAGTTGTCTTTAATTTAAAATTTTTGTTTCAACATGAAGCAATTGTGTTGGATACCTAGCGTTTTTTTCAAAAATTAATTTTAAAAATCTACGCTGAATTACTTCAAGCGGATGTATATGCGTTTTTAAAGCTCATCCCCAAGCTGTAATTGCATACCGAAGATGGCTTTTAACAAGTGAGAAATATAATGTTTTTAGGTGTTTCAGAGGTCACAATGATTTTATAAACCTAAATCTATATAAAATCGTTCTCATTTTATTTACATTATGTGAAATATGTATATCCCATCTCAGATGAGAATCAAAAATAATTCCTAGATATTTAATTTGTGTTTTAGGTAAAATGGTAAATATTTCGGTGTTAATATTTATTTTTATTTGATTAAAGTGAGGAATACTAGCGGAGTTGCAGCTAAACGGTAGGTAATTAGTTTTTTCTACATTAACTGTTAGCAATTTTGATTGTAACCACTTTAGAATAAGGGTAAAATCCTGCTCCACGTTATTTTTCAAAAAATACCAGTCTTCATCATCGTAGTAGATGGTCGTGTCATCCACAAATCATATAATATTACCTTTGGTTTCTAATGAAAACAACTCGTTAATATAAATATTAAAGAGCGAAGGTCCTAGTACCGACCCCTGTGGTACACCAAATTCTATTTGTTTTGGCACACTGAGCGCATCACCTATTCTTACAATCTGTGTAATATGTATACCATGTTTCAGTAACATTTGCAGTGAAATATTTAACTAAAATATTCTAGAAATTTATGATTGAATTGTTATATGTTTGAAACGTTTGAAATATTTCTGAAATAATGTGTGCTGTATGGGTCCTCACCTGTAAATCAAATGGCACCATCAATCATCTTTAAGTCGCCCCGGAGCGCCACGGCAAATAATAATGGCTGTCCCTTTCCCTACACAAGTCGCTCAGTCGACTTTATAGGAGTTGAAATTTACTCGTAAGGGGCTGAATTAGGGAGAGTATTATTATTATTATATTATATTCTCTTTTGAATAGTCTAGTTTTAATTTTTTATCTTCATTCGTTTTTACATAATGGGCATTTTTCCAAATGTTAACTTATTTTTTATGCCTCACCCTTAAATTTAAATTACATTTCATTCCAAATTTATGTTAGGAATACTCTATATTGTATAAAATTGTATTCTCTTTTCAATAGTGCTAGTTTCAATTTTTATGTATATTTGTTTATACGAGTACATAATGGGCATTTTTCCAAATTTTCATTTGTTTATGTCTCTCTATTAAATAAAAATTACACTTCATTCTAAATCGATTTTAAGAATATTCAGGTGTACCAGTTAAAAAAGCATTTTTTTAATTGCTCGGTTTTATTCCTTCAGTTTTTCGTAATATTTGCCTTAGCTTTAGTGGACAAATGCTAATTACAAGACGGAGTCTCAGAGATAGAAAAATCATTAACGTCTTTATATACTTAAGAATATTGGAATGATTGATGCAGCATGTTTTTTGAAAACAATATAAAAATATTTCAAAAAAACGTAAATTTTTAGATTCTAAGTAATATAAAAAAGTAAAAAGCACAAAGCTACGAAGTATTATTTAAGATTAAGAGACTACAGTTAAGTTCGACTTCTGCATGCAAAAATATTCTAACATTGTATTTAGATCAACTAGTAGAACAATACTAATGCAAAGTATCTTGGAGGACAATGGACAGTATCAATAGATGGCTCCGTGGTGTCCAAGTCATGTCTTTGATAATTTTGTCGTCTTCTACAGTCATCGAACGGTTGTCGAAACTGAATAACGAACATAATTTCTCTATTTACAAATAGATGGAACGATAATCGATTCACAATATTTGTTTTAAAAATGAGATATACGAGTTTAATTATTTTTGATGTATATTTATTTTCGATTTATCATCTTTTTCGAGAATATAAACAATATTAATTTAAATTTGACAATCTATCCAATTTGATGAAGTTCTGTACTTGTTCTAACAGATGTCGCGACATAATTGCCTCCAATGAAACGTCCATAAGATTGTTTTACCTTATCTAAATACAATGATTCTAATAAAATTTTAGTAATAAATATTAGAGAAGAGCAATACAAATATTTTCATGGATCTTAAACTGTTAAAACGACTATCCTGTTACTTTCAATAATTTAGTGATTTGATGAAGAATCCAAAGCGAGTACAGATGCCTTGAGCGACCAGAGAGCCAAAAAATGATACTACTGAGTGGAGTGGTCCAGTCTATATGTACGCCAATTTTTTTTAAGGGGGGATAAGGTTAATTCGTGCAAAAAAGGGCACATTTTTGTGAATTTTTTTTCGACGGCACAGTTAAAATCTGATTATTTAAAGTAATGGTACATTAAAGTATAACATTCAAAAAATATTATTTCAATTTTTCATGTAGAAATATTAAAAAATACGAAAATGGTAGCAATTATTCGGAAGCGTCTCATAAAAAAAGTAGAATTGCGGTGCCCCACCTAACTCGGTGCTGGATTATCAGAATTAAAAAAATCAAAGTTCTCTCGTTACATAATCGTTTTCTCCGGGCAACGTTGTGAGGATTTTTAGAAATTTCCATTTTTCACTTTTTGGGAACACTTTGAAATAAAAAACGCGATTATTGCGAGAAAAAATATAGGCTAATTTGTTATTATAAAATAAAAAAATATTAACAAATTTGAAAAACCTCTCCAGCGTTCCCTCTTAAATTATGTACAGAAATAGTGTTCAAAATTTCAAAACGATAGGTGCAGTAGTTTTGAAGTTATGAGGGGCACCGACTTTGGAAACATGAGTTGTGGGAAAAACGCTTTAAAGTTCTGAACACTAAAAAATTTGGAAAAAAAACGTTCATAAGCGAGTTTTATCGGCCTACCTCACTCTGAATAATCGATGCCAGGTCCATAAAGGATGTTGCTATCATTCATGATGTCTAAAGCATCTTTTTGCTCCTGTCTACAACGAATCATCATTCATGAGCGCTTGATCCACTACTGATTCCTGTCTTGCATGTAGGTTAGTAAAGCAAAAGAACATGCCAGGCCAATGCTACACTAAATTATATACAGTACAGATATAAACACTTTTGTACTTGTGTTAAAATTTCTATAAAGGGCGGCTCCGAGACGAATTTTATTTTCGGTGGGGGCCATTGCCTTTAGCCATTATCTTTTTAGCATATATTTTGAATAAAAGGCTCATAAATTGTAAGAACTTTCATCTCAGTGGGGGTCATGGCCCCCATATAGACCCTCCCCTGGAGCCGCCCTTGTTGCCAGGTAACAATAGCGCGCTCGGACCGGGCAGGTATTTTCTGATGCACTGAGTAATGAATGAGGGGGTGGTTACTCAAACCGCTATATCTTCGTTAGTTTTGCTCAGATTCATCTCAAATTTTCACACAATGTTCTTGAAAGGTTTTCCATTCACAAAATAAAATATAAAAAAAAATCCAAAAAAAGTTTAAAAACATTACTCTCCCCTCAACTCTTATTTTCCCGAAAATGAACCTGTTTGAAGCGCTTTCGAGGCAATTACTGCCCAGCTCTGCAGATAATGCAAATTATAAAAAAATGCGACGATTTTCCAAATACTCTAAAATCTTTGATTTCAAGCGAAAAAATTAATAGTAAGGCATTTTTTTTTTTTTAGTCAGTCGCACAAAATTATAATGATTTTATTTCTTACCTGGCGATGTCAGTTTTGAGTGGAAGCTTCCGCTATTCCATTTCCTTAAGACATAAATAGAATAGAAATAATACAACCTCTTTTAAACAATTCTTTTAATTCCATCAAATAAATTACGACAAGAAAGTTCTTACAGTAGCTTTAATCGTAGACCTACAAACGGGACAATCTTCTAAATTTGGAGCGCAATTAACACACGTGGCGAGGTGCCCGCAAGGCAGAAAAACTATCCCCACTTCGCCGTCCATGCAGATCTTACAGAGTCGCGCCTCTTTGAGTATTCTGTTTTCCTCCTCCAAAGATACCGTTTTTTCGACGGGAGGGGCGTGATTCGAGTCGGAGTTGAATCTTTTTAAGCATTTAACTGGAGAAATTAGTACGTCTAACCTGGTCGTGGTTTGGGAATTCTGGCTGAGGTGGTCAGGTTGTACCTGAGTTTCCGCGCGTGGATCTAAAAAAGAAAAAAATATCAGAAAGTTATCAGTTTTTCATTTATTTCCTCGAACTGCTTGACAGGGACCGCATGCCACTTCATATCGAGTAATTACATGTTATACGTGTTGCCTTTGCATTAATTGGTGTTAATTGTTCTCAAGGGATGGAGAAACACCCTTACAGGTAATTGGGACAATTTGATGAAAAAAATCAATTTTACCAATTACTAGAATGTTATGTTTTCGACCAATCGAGTCGAATGACAATACCATAGTTCATACCCGTACCTGCTATTTATAAATGTTTGCATAGAAAAACTATACTTACTATTTACTTCTTCTAGAGCTGTACAAACAATATTCCTAAAAGTACTATCTAACGGTGTATCGCTGTCGTGCGAAGAAGGATCTTCTTCTTCGTGCTGAAGATTTAAAGCTGCTTCGACCAAAGCGTCCGGTTGAGAGTAAGCCCTCCCTGTCTGTTCTAATTTTTCTCTTATTGCACGTTTTACCCGTTCGACGTTGAGACCGATGCTTAACGCCGCCAATGCCTGCGGACTAGATAAATAACTTTGGAGTTCCCTTTCGGTGACTTCTCTGCGTCGCCGCGTTGTCGTTTGACTTTTTTGCGTCGATGGTCTCTGAAACAAAATACAAAATAATGCATACTGTGTAACATGTAAGGCCATATTTTTAATATTTAAATTTGAAAAGTCATAACTTTTTGGAACACATTGTGAAATGTAATGCGACGTTAAAACGAAGTGTATTCAAATATTGTCAAGAAAAAGAAAATATTCTTAATAAAATATTTGGCATTACTTGGGAATTCATAGCCAAATATAGGTGGTATACAGGGAAAATAAAAATTATTTTCTAATGAAGGGTAAAATAATTTTTAAATTTAAATACAGAGCAAAATATTAATTAAAAAGTTGATAGGATTTAAAATATGTACTTAGAAACATTGCACTTATTTTTAAATGATTCCAATTTACTTTATTCAATAAAAAATAATAATCCATAACCAATGCTAAAGTGCGTATTGGAATTTTTTAATTTTAAAAATTCCATGCTTGATTATGGATTTCCAAGTGATGAAGAACATTTTATTGAGTATCATTATTTATTGTGAGATATAAGCTAAAACTTTTTTCATGTGTATAATACTTTTTAAAATACATTTCATAATAAATTGCGATACCAATGTGTGACATAAATAAATTGCAGTAAACAACAAAAAACGACAAGACTCTATTTTAGATTTACAAGGACATTTTTAACATAAGTAAAAATAAAAACAGAAAAAACGAAAAAACATAACTGATAACATATATAATAGTTAACCGTTATAAAAATATCAGACTCAGCGCTTTAACTTTGACCGAAGCTCGCGTGCGCACAAAATAACGGCAGCCTAAGGGCGTTTTCACACTGGACGACACGTCAAAGACAACGGTGTCGGTGGACGCCTTATCTCATGTAATTAATAAGAATGCTTTTACACTTGACGACTTGTCGGTGTCGTGTCGTTGCAAGAAACGACATGTCGTTGAGGAGCAAGCAGTCCTGTCGTGTCGATTTTTCGTTCAAAATAGTTGCTTTCTCAAAGATTTTTGACGAACTACAGAGAGACAAATAAATATCAGCAAGTATTCAATGACACTGCTTCATATGACTGCGGAATAGTTTTTTGTTTTGTTTATTGGTTAGTTTCTTTTTTGTTAAAAAATAAGATATGTTTATTAGTTTGCCAATTTCTTATCAGAAAATAACCCTAAGTTTTTCTTTTCTGTAATTCATTTACTAATAAAGTTTAAATCAAAATAATTCAATATTTCTTCAGGTGGTTTGCTCATTCTAAATCCAGTGTCTTGCTTTTTGATCATATTAATTATTTTCTCCAATATGTAGTCAAATGTATTTTTGCTCATACGAAAATAATTTAAAAACTTATTTGGGTCATTAGCCAACTTCTCAGAGTATAATAGGTACCCTCTGAAAATATCACTTTATTTATCGGATGTACCCATAAATGCCTTTGCTTACATCGTTTCTTGCGCCTCAAATATAATAAATAGAGTAAATATAATTTGTTGCTACCCGCCATAATGAACGACACACAACAACTGCATGTGCCGTGTAAATCACCTGCCGGATATCTTGTCGGCATCGTTATCGTGTCGCCCAGTGTGAAAACGCCTTAAGTGTTGCGAACGTATTTTTTTTAAATATCGCGACCTTTCCAACAGTATTAAGTTCGACTACAAAAGCGGGTGGCGCATTAGAAAGAGTCCACCTCAAATATTATTGGCAGGTTTTTGCGACAAACCCCGAGACACGTCAATTTTGTTATCGAGGGGTACAACTTTTGGTCGTTAACTCCTGGTTAGGTTATCCCCCTAAAAGGGGTGGTAACCCCTTCGAGAATCTTTAATAGCATGGGGGTTGAGTGGAACTTCATTTGAAAGGTATTTCGATTGTCTTTGCAGACATATTAACATTTTTGTGTTGTGTTAAAATTAATGCCAAAAACCAGTAAAATGTCCGTTAAGGACGAGATCTCCCTGCTGTAGACCAAAAGTTAAATCGACCGATTTCCGAAAGTAGGGCATTAAAAATTTTAATTTTCATCCCAACTAGAGATAAAGGTCTAATTTATGTAGTTTTACTATTTTAAATTGTTAAATTGACGATTTTCAATAAAAACCATTTTTTAAGTTCCATGGAGACATTTAACAGTTTTTTTTTTACTTTAAAATTATTCTTTTAATTGAAAAATAATTATTAATCAATTTAAAATAGTAAGACTACCTAAGTAAGACATTTATCTTTAATTTGGCTGAAAATGGCATTTTTAAATTTAAGATCTTCGGAGAAATCCTTGGTCTACAGGTCTACATAAAGAAAACTAAAAGAAGCTGCAATTAATAACTAGATACTGAAATAGCAAAAAAGATATTTATCAGCATTTAACGAGATAAGATAATGGTTTTTAGAAGAATTTTACGGTACCTAGTTTTATTTTAGTGAAATTTCTTAATTTGCTATTTGAAAGTAAATGAACCTAATTATCATGGTTTACACCACTGTAGAGAGAATTGAAATTGTCGCACACTATTTTAGACAGAACGAGTCTGCTCAGGCAGCTGCAAGAGTTTTTAATCAACGGCATCCCGGTAACAATGTAAGACATCCCTATGTGATAAATTTAATGTTTAAATTCATGGAGACTGGAAACGTTTCTAACAGAAAATATGAAAGACAACATTCTGTTACTAACGAGGCTATAAAGGTTGCATTTTTTGGAACATGTTGCATTGGATCACACTTCGAGCACGAGACAAATAGCAGCAGCTACAGGAATTCCACGTAGAAGCCTTTAGAGATTCTTGAAACAGCATAAATTCCATCCCTATAAGATTCATCTCGTGCAAGAGCTCAACAAAGACGATCCAGATCGGCGTATCCAATTTTGTGAGGAGATGACTAGAAGAGTTGTAGACAATCCCCACTTTTTATATTCAACATGCTTTTCTTAATTGCAGATACTGGAGTAATGCAAATCCTGCAAATATGAGAGAACAACATACACAGAATCCTCAAAAATTGAATGTATGTTGGTTCGTTTTTGCTACCTCATAACTTGACGGGTGAATCTTATCTTTATTTGCTCGTAGACAACATCTACCTTCACATTGTGGAAATAATGGAAAACGATGATCAGATCCCAGAGAATGATTTTTTGTTTCAACAGGATGGCGCTCCACCACACATATTGACTGGTTCCTAAATCGCCAGATCTAACACCGTTGGACTTCTTCTTATGGGGTTATTTACAAAACGCAACCGAACTCTTTAGAAGATCTTCGCCACCGGATAACTGTGGCATGTCGTAAAATAACTTCTGCAATGCTACAAAATGTTCGGAACAGTGTTGAACAATGGTTTTATTACTGTTTGGAAGTAAATGGATCGCAATTTGTAACACTTACTTTAATTAAAACTTTTCTGGCAACTTTTTTTTAAATTTCTTTCACTCATAATTCAGAAGGTTTTTGGCATTAATTTTAACTCTTAACAAAGATGTTAGCATGTATGTAAAGATAATGGAAATACCTTTCAAATGATGAACGACTCGATCCCCATATCATTAAAGATTCTCGAAGGGGTTGCCACCCCTTTTAGGGGGATTACCGTACAACTATTAGTTAACGATCAAAAGTTGTCCCCCTCGATAACAAAATCGACGTATCTCGGGGTTTGTCGCAAAAACCTCCTCCGCCAATAATATTTGAGGTGGACTGTTTCCAATGCGCCATCCCGTATAGGGATCTTGCGATACTACTGATACCAGTCGATACTTTTCTTTCGATACCGGGTAATTTAGTACCCGGACACACTCGCGTATCGGGGACAACACTAATCCTTTGTACTGCGCATGTCATCTATGATTTATTTATTTATTTGTACATCGGTCTCTTTTTGACAGAGTAGGTGAGCTGTGTTCAGGCCGTTGGTGTTTATGCCGGTCGGCGTAGCCAGGTATGGATTAAAATTTTCTGGTGGTGGCGAAGCCGCCACCCTACGAGAAGGCGTTGCTTCGTCTTCTCGTTGTCACATTATTATTATTTGTTCATGTATGTGAAAGTGGCTTCTAAGGTTTATAAAATACTACTGCTAGTCACGGCGCAAATGAAAACAAACAAGATGTATTCACACAAACATCTCCCACCACAGCAATTACTAAGGATTAGTATTGTCCCCGATACACGAGTCCCGGACACTTTACTCATATCGAAACTACTTTTGTTTCGATACTACCACTTAAGTTTCGATATTTTACCAGTTTTGACATTACTATACACACAAAAAGTGTAATGTAGGATCATTTTATGGGATTATATGTTGGCTTACCCTATGACTTTCCAATATCAGTATTGATACTTTGGTTCCGATACCCTTTTCGATACCGGTATCGCTACTTTACTGGTATCGCAACATCCATAATTGTATAAAAACAACGTCGATATAGTCATTTTTAACGCAAAGGATGATGGTCGGCAGCCGGGTATAGAAAATTAAATTTAATTATTTTCTATGAATTTCTTAATTTTTTTATCTATTTTCCGAAATTCCGAAACAACTTACACAATTGCAATATTAGATTTAACTCTTATACATATGCCATACCATTCTAGAGAAAGAAGCTTCATTTATAATCCAGTAACTTTTTTTAATCATTACAAGCCTTATGCTCTTCGAATAGTTTTCGTATCACTTTGAAAAACAATTACCTTAATAAACCTTTTCTTATAATAAATATAATCTATGTTATTTTATTTTAAGTACCACTATATTTTAAGTACATCAATTTTTCATCATGACCCATTTAGTCTGGACGTGCATCGCAGGTGACAATTGAAAATTATATTTATTAGTAATAAAATCCTTACTCAGTCATTGTCCTTTACGTCTATTGTATGCAAAATAAATGCTATAGTCGTTTGTTTCTATAGTAAATATTTGAATATAACTGTGATAACAATAGAAACAAATAGTACTATTCCACTTTAAGTGAGTAATTTTTTAAATATAGTTTTTTTAACAAACAATTACGCCTATGTATTAAGCATTGCTC